ATCTAGAATTGAGTCAAAATGCGCTAGAGGTTTGAATTTGATAATTGATTCATATAGCTAAAATGGATTCGTAGGCGTGTTTGGAGGTATATTTGAGGTATATTTGAAATCTGTCCCAGTACCCCCAAATTTGCCTATATTAAATAAGTAGAAAGAAACTGATAATTCTATTTTTATACTTTTTAAGTATTTATTAATAAGGTAATATTTTATAAATATAAAAATAATTTCCTTTTAGAATTTATGGGATGTTTAGAACCAATAAATTTAAAATAAATTTAGTATTTATAAAAAAATGATAATTCTATAAAAGTGATATTTTTTTTTAAGAAAAAGAATTAAAACCTAAATGACATCTGAACAAATGTTACAATCTACAAAAGCTGAATAATTTAATATAAATAAAATATAGATTTTTAATAGAAATGACTCAAATAATCTATGACCATATCTATTTGATCATAATTAAGGATTCAAAACTTACAGATTGACGATTAATTAGTAAATACTTTCTTTTACAAATCAAAATACAATACTAATTTTGACCTGATTCATAGTTTTATATATTTCTTTAGTAAAAGAAACTGCTTTCATAGATAGAATGGACATTTCTGTTCTATGATAATACTCCTTTTCAACACTTGAATATGGACTGAACTGAACTTGCATTTTCAAATCCTGTTTTCAATATTAAGCTTAGCCATATGATATGATATTAGATTTTTACTTTATATAAATAAATGCTGTGTTGATATGTTATCTCCTTGGAACCTTTTGTACTTGTACTTTAAGTGTAGATTTTGCCAGTAAAACTAACTAATAGAACAATTGAATACCTTTTATACTTAACTTTTTTGAATGGTTCATTAGGTATTTCGATTGTTTGTTAATCTTGAATAACTGATTATTCAAAAAATCACTGCAGTAATTCCTGCTTAATATTAAATATTTGATTTAACATCACTTTATTCAATTATAATCACTTTTGCTTGATATAACTTTTGCAATACAAGTCTAATTATAGTAAGTGAAATGCTTTATTATTTCTAATTTAAAAATAATACAATTTACTAAATTTGATTCTAACCTTTTGAAAGATTTTTTTTATAAAACTTACTAAGTGTTTCTCCAAATTGAATTTACATTAATTCCATCATAGAATTCACTTCCAGAGAGATTTTCAAGAGTGATATTCATATAGAGAGTTTTTTTAATTATATTAAGTTCAAGTAACAATATTGCCATTTTCATATAATTGAATTGCGTGTCGATTAAAATTGTTGATTATAACACGAGAGTAATAGATATGAATCACATAAGGTAATAAAATAAGTAATAATGATAGGAGATACTATTAGAATTTTTGAAATAAATCAATAAAAGTGAAGAAAGTATATGTATCATATGTAATATTAAAATTATAAAAGAATCTTAATAATATTTTACATTTTTTTTGTTTCCATAAAAATACGTTCTTAAAGAAAATATTTGTAAAAAAAATAAAAAAATATATACACTTTCATGTAAAAAATTATTTATAATATTGGTCAAACATTATTTATTTAATTACGTGTATAACACCATTTTACCTTTTATAATTAACACAAATATTTTTTTTAACAGCATCCTTAAAAATACGCTTTTATCGTATATCCCCTCACTATATAAATATTTTTTTAAAAAATTAAGTATCATGTGATAAATAAAGTAGCGTAACTAGAATAGATTAAGATTCCCTATTTTACAATTTAAAAGGATCAGAAATTAACAAATTACAATTCTTATGAGTATTTGTCATTGTGAATTAGTACATGAGATTTCCCAGCCAAATAATTTCAGGTATGACTCTTAAGATGTGCAAGATATTAGATATTTGTTATGATAACAAGTTTCATATAAGGGGTGAATACGTTCTGTGGGAAAATAATCCCCTTATAAATGCAATGATCCATATCCACCTATGTTATGATGTGATATTCTGCTCTAGGAGTTTCTATGTTAAACCAGGGTTAATTATCAACTTTGTGGGGTTGAGTGATAGTGGCTTATAATTAGTGCCCAATTTTCTTAGAACGTGAAAGTAAGCTTTAACTACCCTGGTTTCATACCTCCAAAGCAAGATGTCATCGCAGATATTTCAATATTCAACTCATAAGAATTTATTTTTAAAATATCTATCTAAAATATAACGTATGAAATTATTTTAGAATGCTAAAACGGAGAGCCAGAAAAGCGTTCGGTTATAAATAAAGTAGTTGATATTTTAAATGATATTCTTACAAAAACAAATATATTAGAAAATGATCAAATGAATGAAGAATCAAATATTGAATAACCTTGTTATTCATCTAAATTGGCTTACAATTTTATTTTGAATAAGTTGAATGTAGTAGAAGCATTAGAATCTGATAATGAAACAGATGGAGAATTATCTCAAAATATAAATTTGAATCAGTTGAATATAATAGATTCATTAGAATCGAATAATGAAACACATGAGAAATTATCTCAAAAGTTTAATTTGAATCAGTTGAATGTAATAGAAGCAATGGAATCAAATACTGAAACAAACGTCATTATTTATAATAATACTATTGATAGTTTAACTATTACAGAAGATAATAAGGATATATTATACACCTTAGGCAAATTACAAAGATTTAGAAAATTACAAGTACTGCGCTTTAAATTTAATATAACCAGCTTATCAACTTTACCCAACTCCTTAATGGAACTCGATTATGATAATACTCAAATAACCAGCCTACCAACTTTACCAAACTCCTTAACAACACTCTATTGCGATTATACTCAAATAACCAGCCTACCAACTTTACCAAACTCCTTAAAAATACTCTATTGCAATAATACTCCAATAACCAGCCTACCAACTTTACCAAACTCATTAAAAATACTCTATTGCTCCTATACACAAATAATCAGCCTGCCAACTTTACCTAACTCTTTAATGGAATTTTGTTGCTATAATACTCCAATAACCAGCCTACCAACTTTACCAAACTCCTTAACGAGACTCGATTGCTTCTATACTCAAATAACCAGCCTACCAACTTTACCTAACTCTTTAACAGAATTTTGTTGCTATAATACTCCAATAACCAGCCTATTAACTTTACCAAACTCCTTAATGGAACTCTTTTGCGATAATACTCAAATTACCAGCCTACCAACTTTATCAAACTCCTTAACAACATTCTATTGCGATAATACTCAAATAACCAGTCTGCCAACTTTATCTAATTCTTTAACGAAACTCTATTGCAATGATATACAAATAAATAGTTTGTCAAATTTACCTGATTCCTTAATGGATATTGAACCAATTTCTTTGAGAATTCAATACACTAAATAACTCCTACAAGTTCTGTGAAAATTTCTATTAATAGCCTTCTATATGATCCTATTATTGTTAAAGTTTGTTTCAACGAGGAATACTATATTTGGAAATATATATAAAAGAAATTTAAAGTTTAAAAGTTAATTTAATTTAATTTATTTTGAATAAAGTTGGCATTTTTTTTTAATAAAAATGATATTTTTAAATATTAAAGAAACTTTCATCTTTTAAATTATTTTTAACAACATTTATATGCTTCATTAAAAAATTTTATTGAATCTTTTTCTTATTATAGTTGCAAGCAAATTAGGCTATTTTATCTTTTATTACAGAAAATTTTGTCAAAATTATAGGGAAACTTACAATAGTTAATACATTACTAATGAATACATCTTCAATTAGATAATTTTTTTTTAATAGCTATAAATTTTCAATCACATATCTATTTAAGTTTATAAGTAGTTGGCACTACTTTACATTTATTCTTTAGGTAAAGAAAACTTTATTTTAAAAAAGTATAGAAAAATGAGTCATTTCTGGTTTTTTATAGATTCGTAACTTTACTGTGTTATCTACTAAAAATAATAAATAAAAACAACTGAATATGATTCGTTCATCTTATCACGTTAAATTGTGTCTAGTAGTTAAGAAAGTAACCCGTTGTCATCTTACTATTTAATTTTAAGATTTTTTTTTTCAAAAAAAATATCATTATAACCGAATTCCAGAAAAAAAGATATTTAGCGAGTTAGAAATATGAATTAATAAAGGGAATTTATGATATTTGTTTCTATACTATATGCTTAAAAAAATGTTACTTACGTAATTTATTCCTGACAAATTATCATCACTGCTCCTTTATGATCTTACCTTAAAGTTTAAGATCAAAATTTTTAAATTCGTATTTTATTTGACTATAAATTAAAATTGAAATTATAAATTTATATACACTAGCTTACAAATAAAAATCCAATATTTTTTTTTTTAATCTTTTATTCATCATTTTATACTCTAATCATCCAGAACATACCATGTTCCAGGTATTGAATGACATTACACTTTAAAAAATTTTACTGCTGCCGATGAACTCATTTTATTTACTACAAAATATATTTAAGGTAGAAATTAAATTAAGTTCAAATGAATTTATCATACAATTTTGATCAAGAATTCCTCAGAAATTTTTCAATATTAATATCCTTGTGGATCCTTCAAAATAAAAAATGTCAATTGATAAATAAAAATACTTTATTATTCGAACATACATAAATTGGTGATTATTAATCAGAAATATTATTATTAATAAATTTAATTTTATCCATCGTAGCCATCGGATACCAAAGAATAAATGTGATCATCAAATAAATTATTAGCGTGATAGATATAAACTATTAAATCAAATATATTTATAGTCACATAATATTATTAACATTTGTTTTAACCGTCTCTTTTCTATGTTATAGTGATGAAGAGTTTAAATTTATCTATTAATAATTTAATATTTTTTTTTTGCTTTGTTTTTTTATAATAATAAGAATAAAAATCAATAAATAAAATAAATAAAACACGTCATATGGAGGCTATATAGAATTATTTTAGAAATTTATTAGCTATTCATAGGCTTTTATTTTTTTTGAAAATAATGTTTTTTTCTTAATGAATTCTTGATTATTAAAAATAAAGACTTACATTTATAATTGCAAATTTCGAGAATTAAGATTGCCTATATAAAAATTAAGTTAGATATTTTAAAAAATGTTTTTCTTTAATGTTGTATTATAGGGTCGTGATCTAAGAAAATCAAGTTCTGAGAAATTTTTGACTAAATTAATATCTTATTACATTTTAATCTAAATGTAATAAAAATTAAAATGCAATTAAATTCTCAATTTTATTAAAAAATTCTCAGAACTTGATTTTCTCATATCACAATCCATATAATAAATAATAAAAATACTTAGAATATATTTTCCAGATTGAGAAATTGTAAAAATATTCAATTCCATTAAATTTCTTATTGGATTTCATCATAAGTCATTTAAAAATATTATCCAAGTTCGTCTCTTTAACAATTTTCACCTATTTGCATCAAAATTATATTCGTATTATCTTTTATTAAAATATATAATATATAAATTAGAATATGAAGTGTTAAAATTTGCTGAGCTATTAATGCGCAATTGATTATTTTATTATTTTAAATATTAAACTTCACGACAAATTGACCTTTGCATTCAGAGCTTTAATGATATATCATACAAATACGTGCTAACGTTATAGTTGAAGCAGTTCTGGTAATCAACATTATTTGTTTTGTGAAAAAGTGAATGCATACGTTATTTATTTACACGTGAAACAATTACAGTCAAATTTATATGTAACAATATTATATATATTAATAATTGCATGTACTGATAAATTTTTTATGTACCATTTTATTATTAATTAAAAACCTTTATATATCGATATTACATATGATTTCACAATGTAACATATACCGATATTTTTCTTTGTCCCTTTATAATTAATATTTAGAAAGATTTATCAATATTTTAGGTTACACTAGTATAAATCTATACTTAACATGACATAATGCATTTTCAACTACAGATAAAAGGAAATTCAACAAAAAAAGAGTTGTTTTAACATACGTAAAAAAAGACGACTCTGTTTAGATTATCAAAAAATGCCATAACCTACTCAAGAAGAACTTAATTACTTTATACAAAATTAAACAAAATACTGTTTCAGATATTTTTAAAAAAAAAGAAAAGTGGCTGAATGTAAATCCAGAATAGAAGAGTCAAATAAACAAAAAGAAAAGTCCATTCATTTTCTTCAAGTAGAAGAGGCACTTTTATTATGAATAACTAATAAAGTTGCTGCA